GTACCCCATAGGCACATAGCCTGTCAGTTTAAAGGGTCAGACAAAGGTAAGGAGAATGTAATTGCGTACCATCTGCATTCTTCAGAGCTTCATCCTCAAAGCATTTTGCGTTGTGAAACTATTGAAAGAAGCCCGTTTCGGCTTAATATGAGTGAGTGAAAAATTCTCACACACATTGCGTGTCACATATATGCATGCATTTCTCAATAAGTATGTGCTTATGCTGCTGCACGAATGTCAATATCTCTATGTGTGGGAGTCAGCAATGTTTGTGTATGTGTCTATGAGTATGTGTTAATCTTGTCTAAACACCTAACACTCCCCTACCTGCTCAGACAGGGCCATGGGTTAATTCTGGCTTCAGGCGCCATGGCTAATAACTGCTCATCAACCGCAGCTTGAACTCTCGGAAACGTCAACTATTACCGTGGTAACCTTATCACGGAACCAACAGAACCCGAGATGGTGCTGACAGTGGGATTGGAAATTAATATAGTAAAACCTAAGGAAAATCGTGATTTATAAATAATACTGAATAAGAGTATGTCTTTATTGACAAAACTTGTGCTCTGTGTGCTGGCGGACAAATACTTTTCCGCGTTCCTAAGGTGCTAGGTGATAGAAGCATGAGTCAAACAGCAGTTAAGAAATTAGTTACCAGCATGACTCCATGCACAGTTGGGGTGACATGTAGCTGCCTGGCCCAGCTGGTGAGGAGCTAGCGCTGTCAATCACCTGTCATTCACCACCACCATATCACAAATTAATCCAGATAGATGATACACAGAGCAAGACAGGATTCTCTGAATTTAAAAAACAAAAAAGCAGTCAAAAGTTGAAAGAAGGGCACAGCAGCGGAGAGGTCACTACCACGATGGATGCTTGGAAGAACTGTGAGCACGGCAGAAAAACAGTAAGAGAATGTTGTATTATGTGGCCCCAGGCAGAGGAGTCCTGTAGCTTGAGTAAATGAGGTGATTAGCAGGGATGGTGTGAGCTGTCACACTTCAGACACTGGGCTTAGAATCCAATCACCATCTCATATGTCAATCAGTGGCCCACCGAGGCAGTTGACCAACAGGTCAAACACAGTATACTATGAGCCACGTAGTCAAGAGCACAAACGTAGTCCTGCATGCAAACTTATACACAGGTATACTGGTATAAACCAATGCCTCTGCAACAGGCGACAGAGAGCCAACATGCACTCATACCTTTGTGACATCTCCATCTAAGGTGATGTACAAATGAATGACAGCCAATCACGGTCTCATAATAGCACATTACAATGACTAATCTGTGTTTTGATTGATTTGATGCATGACTGGTGATATGATACAATGTTCTCTGGGAAATTCCCTGACACACAACGATGTGTCATGGCCAAGGATTGTGATTGACATTTCATATTATATACGTCAGCAATCACAGCCATTTTAGAATTTGAATGACATCAAATGAATAAGTCCAACATGGATTATCACTCTGATTTTCTTTTACTGCTATGTGTATGAGGGCAATACAAGAGTATGGTTACCATTCACCAAAAAACTCCAATAAAGCTCCTTAAACAAGGAAGGCAGACAAAGCTTGATCTTTACAATGTGCTGCTGGGATATATGACACAGTATCCAGGCCCCACAGAGCTATAGGGATGCCCTAGGCCTCGGCCCCCTGGCCTGCCCAATAGAATCCTAATTAAAAGACCACTGAGGATAACCACCTTGACTTTTACGGACCTTATAAATCTATACTGGAGTAGACTATTCAGGGGGGCAGAGAAAGGAGGGGGGCTGGGCCAATACAGACAGGAGGGTTAGAAGGATGGTGAAGGCTTGAAGAAAATGAGAAGGGGTTGACCGTAAGACGCAGAGGAAGGTTGGGGGGGGGGCATTCCTCTCCTCCCCCTCACCTCCTGTCTGAGACAATAGGATTCACTAAGAGCCAAGGACCAGAGGGTGTGATAAGGTAATGATAATGTAATGAGGACCAATCATGAGCCTGAGCTAAGAGGAGGGCCCCTTAATTTGTCTCTAGAGTGGTAGTTCAGTGACAGATTGATTGCTCTGAATAAGAGTAATGATGTGACACATGCAAAATGGATGTGTCTCTGACAGGAAGAAAAAGTGAAAATGCATGAGAAATCATAAATCAAAATGAAAGAATGAAGGGAAAGGCAATACAAACCTGTCCTGAGATCTATACTCAAATGCACCAAATGGTCTAATTGAAAGATTTTAAAGTATCATACAAAATGAAAATAGTTTTAACCATTCTTCACAGAAAGGAAAAAAAATATTAATGTATTCCCGCCAATGGGGCATTTGGGGCAAATGAGGCAAAGCCCCACCTACTGGCAGCAGAACATATTGTGGTTTTAATGGTACTGAGTAACTTAGAAATTAACGTTGGATTAATGCATGACGTAAAAATCCTTGGTTGCTGCTCTTATTTATCGTTATTTTACAATTCAAGTTTACCATACGGCTGGTCAACTAATCGCCAGCTCCGCTTTTTTTAACGCATCTTTCGGAAAGGATTGGCAAATATCAAAGCAGCGGGAGTCATCTAGACAGCAGTAAAATTGGGCTTGCTCTTCAGAGCAAACATAGCTACCCACATTCACAGTGCATATGAAAGGGGAATTGAGCAGTGTGACCAGCAAGTTCAGGATAACAGCTATGTGCTCAGTTGAATGGTCACCTGTATTAAACTGTGTGGAAAATGGGAAATGACACTACATGGCCATGATGAGTTAGCAGACAGTCAGAACCCTGGGATTTTCCAATACATATTTGAAACCATGTCTGAGGGTGACTCAAGCTCCAAAGGGGTGCTATGATGCTCAGTCAGTTTTCAAAGGGACCTCTAGTTCAATTTAGAATAAGCTGTTAAGTATAAAAGTGCTGTGGGCCTGACTAACACTATCAATAGTGTACTGGAGCCACTAGTACTAGTACTAGGACAGTTGCAGCACTTAGCGGACAAGTTGATGGTACAAATACATGTTGGTGCCACTGTGATGAGCGGGAATGTCCGCTGCGTACAGACCCTGATGAAGGAAACCTATCACTGGGCAGCACTGGCAGCCCTTGTAGGGGCAACAAAAAGATGCACTTGGAGGCCACCAGCTATCCGATGGAACTTTAAACTTTTTTATACTTTAAACTGTCAGTGTAATTTTCAGGTGAGCTGTGCAGAACTGCTCTGGTGCAATCTAGTTGGGATGAGCCTTTCCAAAAAGCTAAAGGAGCCCACCTTCCAACAGCTATTGGAATTATTCGCTATGTCAATGGTGTATGTTTTGTACAATGCCAAAGGGAATGTTAAAAATATAAGAGTGACCACCTTATTGCTGATGAACTAGCTTACAGCTCTTTTTTGTGTTTTTGTGAGTTTGTTAAATCCTTTCCTTTCCTTCCCCAATAGTGACTGTGCAGTAAACTAAAAGTTGAAGAGATGAATCGCTGTATCACTAGTCACTGGTAACAGCCCTGTCTTTGCTATTACCTATCCACTTGAATGAGGGTTTTGCTGAGAATGTCACACTTCTAAAAATCGTCATCAAACTCCCATGGCAATATTAGAATCAGAAAGAAGTTTCTCTACTCTGAAGACAATAAAAATTTGCTTGCGCCACTGTGAGGAACAACTCAATGCACTGGTTATGCTCTCCATTGAGAATGAGCTGATTGAGCAGCTACAGGATTTTTAGTTTAACCGCTTTGTCTCCTTTTTACTAAAGTCAGCTTACAATTGGTGACTAAAGGATTTTTAGCTTATGTTACTGTTATAGCATGGTATGATATTTATAATCTGTTTATATCAGGTCACTTTTCTAATAGTCATGGCTTGATGTTATTGTGAATCAAAGGCTTGGTGCACAACTCACTGCTGCTGAACTGTTTAAACCTGTGAACAGTGACATACTTATTTTCCTTTATTCATAGTGATGCCCTCCCTCGTAGTCCAGTTCTCTTCTGCTCTCCTCCCCCTCGCATTCAGTTCAAACATGGGTTCACGCCAAATGCCTCTCCTCTCTCCTCGTCCTCTTCTCCTATTGCTATCATTCAGCATGCAAGCAATGTTTGTATGACTATGACATTGCCTCATTTACCTAGTCCTACAGTGTCTTGCAGTTAGGCTATAGAGGAGTCAAAATATGAATGATTGTTTTTGGAGGCATATTAAGATTTATGTAATGTAATTTCCTTTTCTTACTTTTGTCTGAAGAAGTTGTTGCCCCACAATCTTTTTCAACAAAAAAACACTGATCACACTGATTCGTTGCCTCAACAGGTCATGGCTAATGCTGGCTGGGGAGTGAAAGAACATCAACCTGTCAGACAAAGTAAGCAGCACCTCCTGTACATATCCATTTCCCTTGAGAGCTATTGTGGCTAAAATGTTCTTTGATAGTGCAAACCTGTTTGTTGTGGTTTCATTTTTTTTGTCCTTGGATGGCTGGGGACCATGCATCAATACCATGACCAGTTATACATTCATATTCCTTTCATATATCAAAATATAAATAACTTTAACTTAAACTGCCACCAGTATTTTTTCATTGCAGATTCATGAATATAGATAGACATTTTTCTCACTCTGTTGCCTCTTGACATTACACTGGAGTAAGTGTGGCAGCAACAGTGTATAATCAATAGCTTCACCTTTGATTTTGACACCCAATAACAGACAAAAGTAAACACAGGCTGGCAGAACTTGGCCAACATGAGAGATTTCTCTTTATCATCACCACTTAACTTCAGCAGTGCTATGAACGTGATGAATGGTAACAAATGTAATGGCTTTCTTCATAAATAATGACTTTGTGTCTAAACTCAGTTGTTGTAGTGGGTTAATGGTTACATGGCACGTTATAAAAACCAAAAAATTGACAGAGAGCATTACAAATACACCAAGAGTGTAGAACCACTAAACACCATGTTTTGTTTATGTTCAGCAAACCCTGGATATGCTGAGTATCCTTGACAACATACCTCAATAGTGAACTGTTTTCTTTTGAGCTTGAAGGCCAGGTCCTTGTGGTCAGGAAGTTTACTTGCCAGACAGTTCAGGTGAGGAACTCGGCGTACATGCAGCAGGCCTGTGAAGGACAGTGAAGCAGAATATAAAGGAAAGTTACAACAAGATATTCTAGTCCTATTCACAATGTGCATGTTTTATGTTAAACTGTGTCAATAAAAAACAACAAACTTTCTTTTTAATGTATAAAAATGTGTAAAATAGTGCCACTTTTAGAGAATTAGGTTTTTCTCTAGTCTAAATTACACATGCAAAATTCAGTATGAATTACTACTAACAACCTCAAGAGTTCAACCAAGGATGATTTGATAAGATGATTAATTTGAAATATTCATTTATTTATTTTAAATAAAACTGCTTAAACTGCTAGAATTACAAATGATAAAAATAGTATTCTAATTTTTGTACATTTCAGTAACTCTTGTTATGACCGAAAGGGGCAGTTTCTCATCTTGGCGGGACAGAAAAAATCTTAAAAAGGAAGTTTTCAAGGATTAACCAGCTGATTACAAAATGCAGATTTTTTTAAGTTTTTGAAAATGCTGAACTAAAAACAGTGTTACATTTGAAGTAAACTATGCTCATCTACTTGAATGAATGTAGCAGGGCAGGCATTAACAGGCTAGTATTTTTCAGACATTTATATCACTATTAAGCATCATAGTTACAGTGAACTCCACTGGCAGAATCTAGAAACATGGTGGTATTGCAGTGATATAAAAAATATCACTGTTAAGTGTAAGACAAAACTACCAATGAAATTATTTGTTATCAGATATCTATAAACATTTCTATATTGGCATTCGTACTCTTTTCTTTTATCCCTACAGGCTGGAGCATGTTGTACTGTAAAGGAAATCTGCCAATTAAAGGACACATTAGAGCAATGAGGGACAGAAAGTGAAAATACAAGCTGCAAAGGATAGGTGGAAGCTTTGAAGCATTTTTTATTCTTCATTTCTCATTCCCTGTCACCACAAAGTTACATTTTTATAAAACTGTAAAAAGTACTGTAGAAGTGGGGTGGTATAAATGAGCGTGAGAGAGAAAAGAAGAGATCGAGGGAGTAATGGAGAAAGGGAGACAGACAGAGAAAGTGGGGGATGGTTGGTTCTCTCCTCTGTGCACTTGGGTGATTTCCCCTTGCCTGATTTGCAGTGACAGGCTTCCCAGCATGCTTTGAGCAGCCCTGAACTGCTGCCGCAAACACGCACGCACGCGCATTCGCACGCACTCTCACACTCGTACCAGATGCGTTTGCACTCATGAACACACATCAAAACAATCATGCACATAAATGTATTTCATAACTCAACCAGAATTTCTCTGGCTGGTTAAACAGAGGGCAAATATATTCTTGAACAAGATAATAAAACAATATTAACAGCAAATTCTGAAGAACATTTTTGTAATACAAAATTATTTTAAAGAATTATGTATTACAACGCTCATATGTTGAATGGGTTTACATGCCACCTGCTTTTACAATGCAGAGGAATGTGATCACTATGGGACGTGTTGTCTAAATAAAACATGCTGTTGGATGAAACCAAAATCTGCCATTCAATGTTTTTACTCCTCATCCCTTCATCTGTCACAACCAGGGCTGTCTTACCCGAGGAAGGGAGAGAGGGGAAAAATGAGCGGAAAAGCACAAGAGTGAGTGGGAGAGTTCGAGAGGCATGGCTAAAAATACCCCACTCGCTTAAACTGACCTTTATGCGTGAAGAGTGTGGTAGAGTGATAGAAAAGAGGGATGCAAACAGGAGAAAGAAGGAATGGTAAAACGGTAAAGGAAAAGTGATGGTGAGGACCGGGAGAGAAGAGACAAACTATGTTGCCTGCCCCCCCCTTCGTTTCCCTCTCTCCAGTCGTCCCTTACTGGTGTCTTCTTCCCCTACTGAAAGCCTTGCCCTCCATTTATTAGCAGAGCATGCTGGCCATGGAGACATTGAGCGAGGGATAGAGAGATAGAGGCAGAGAGGAAGAGAGAGTGATGGTGAGAATATCGATTCCCCAGTGTTGGTCTGCTCTGCTCCAGAGCCTCAGGGGTATGGGACTAGGGATGGAGAGGGGGCGAGGCGAGAGGGAGAGGGAGAGAGGCTCTGCTGGAGGGGGGGAGGCAGAGATGGAGGGGGTGAGGGTGCGAGGGAGAGGGGGTACAGCGTGGCAGCTGAATCCCCCCCGGCCTGTCTACTGAGGAGCACGTCTGATTGAGCAGCAGCACACTAACGCGCACTGACAGCCTGGCCTGCAAGGGGGCTGCCCTGCCTCCATCCACAGCCCAGCCCCAGCCTTAATGCACTGCCTGTGTGTATGGGTGTGTATTTGTTGGAAAAGAGACGGAAAGATAAGCAAGTGTGTGTGTGTGTGTGTGTGTGTCCTTACCATGGTAATCTTTGTAGAGTGGGTTGGTCTCTCTCTCAGAGCCTTTGAATGATTCCAGGGCTATGGCATTGTCACATAGCCTGGTTATGCTGCCCATTAGAGCTCTGTCCTGTAGGACCGAGAGAGTGAGTGAGAGAGAGGGGGAGAGCGACAGAGAGAGCAGGTATGTAGGTGTGAGTATAGTAGGACATCAACTTCTGCATTTACACAGAATTTAATTTTTCTCCCCCATTTTTGAGCTTCCTCTTAATCACACAAGATGCAGGTGTCACTGAATGAATGTGCCACCATTTCAAATTGTGTGTGTGTGTGTGTGTGTACTACTACCCACCGCTAAGTGTGACAGTGTTAAATTTCCAGCATTTCCCTGCATTTTCATCTTTCATGAAACCAGCACATATTGCACCATTCTGAGGAGAAATATTTCATATTCAGTATTTCCATTTGCAGGATTTGTGTACGTCTGTGTGAATGCATGCAAATGTGGAAGTAAGTTTCTGTGTGAGTG